TTTAGGGTAATAGAATATATAAAGGCCTTTACGGCCTGTGAACCCTTTCATGCTGTAAAAAAGCGGCACGGCACTCGAAGCTAACTCTTCTTCGTGCTAGAGACAGGATTCACCTCGTTCAGCCAGACTGTCGCTGCGCTGACCTCGGTGGCCGTCGCCAGAGGCTCGGCGGGCTCGCTTCGGCCCGCTGGCTGGCCGCCAGCTAAACAGGGCCTCGCTCGAGTTTTAGGGTTTATGCTTTTTAGGGTTTGGGGTTTAGGGCTTAGGGTTTTAGGGTTTTAGGGTTTAGGGTTTAGGGCTTAGGGTTTAGGGCTTTTAGGGCTTATACGGCTTATAGGGCTTACAGGGCTTATAGGGCTTAGGAAGAAACCAGAAGTCCTCAAGGATCCCGTTAGTAGTTAACCTCAAGCACAACGCCCCCAGGGTTTGGTGTTTTTTGGGGTGGTTCTCGGGCTGTAATTAAGCCAAAGGCCGTATTTGGTGTGTTTTTTTTTGGTGTGGTTTTAGGGTTGTAATTTAGGCCAAGGACCACATTGGGTGTTTTTTGGGGGGTGGTTCTACATTTAGGTCTGTAATTTAGGCCGAAAACCATATTGGGTGTTTGTTGGGGTGGTTTTAGGGCAGTAATTCAGGCCAAAGGCCGTATGCTGAAGCCAAAAGTCCCACCAAAGCCTGCGCCAGGCAGGCAAAGGGGGCGAAGTCGCCTGAGCAGATGGACGAGTGGGTGGAGGAGGCTTCCCAAAATTGAATTACGTTTGAGTTTCTACTGCAGGGTACTTCGGAGTCGGACCAAATTTGTAAGACTCTTCCTCATAGTGCCGCTATAAGTGCAACACAATGTACCCCCCCAAAAGTCTATTCTGATAAGTCACCTATATTTGGGCGCCCCAGCTCTCTAAAAAGCCTTTCGGCTTTCGGCAGCTCCATCACTTCGAGTGTGCTTTCGGATGTTTCCAGAACCTACACCCTGAGAGCTCTAAGGCCCTAAACCCTAAAACCCTAGAGCCCGAAATCCCTAAACCCTAAAACACTAAAGCCCTAAACCCTAAAACATCCCTAAAACCCTAAAGCCCTACAGCCCTAAACGCAAAGAACAGCAACAGACACGAAGAACCCATTTCCTGATCGGAGGCCATCCAGCAGCTCAGGACCAACATCTTGGAGGCCAGGAGCCCTATTAATGTAGGGGCCTGAATAATTAGAATTGTGTTTTGGGGCCCAAAATACTATAACTATAAGAAGGAACCTCAAAATAGTATAGGCAACTATTTAGGTCCCTCTATCTATCTATCTATCCATCTATCTATCTGTCTATCTATCTATCTATCTGTCTATCTATCTATCTATACATACACATACGGTTTCGGGTTTCCTGGGCCCTATAAAATCCCACCTCTTTGGGGTTCCTTATGTTGATTTCCGGATATAAGTCCCTAAAAAGATAGGTTACTTGGGGTTAGGGTGGGGTATAGGTGGGTTTAGGGTACAGTGGTGTTTAGGGTTCAGGGTATAGGATTTGGGTGTGGGGTTTAGGATTTAGGGTTTGGGCGTTAGGGTCTACTTGGAGGTTCATGGGTAGTTATAAGTAGGGTTATAAGTATGGTAGCTATACTTATAACCTATGTTGGGGGACTTATAACTCCACTTATAACTACCCATGAGCCTCCAAGTAGGGTTGATGGTTTGGGGTTCGGGGTTTTTAGTCGGCAGGACTAGGAACAGTCTGGCTGGCCTTGCGGGTCCTTGCATAGGGTTCTAGGTTTGTTTGGGGTTGAGGATTCAGCTTCAAAGTTTAAGTTTAAGGGCTTAGGGACAGGGTTTAGGGTTGAGGGTGTATGCCTTGTGGGGTTTGGAGTTTAGTGTTGTGGGTTGGGGTTTGGGGTTCAGGGTTGAAGGTTCATAAGTATACCACAATATACCGCCAAACCCCGACGCCAATCATCACCCCTCCTATGTTGGACCACGGATTAAAGCCCAAACCCTAAGCCCGAATCCCTAAACCCTAAGGCCCTACACCCTAAACTCTAAACCCTAAGCCCAAGGCCCTAAACCCAAAAAGGCTCTAAGCCCTAAATCCTCGGCGTCATGCTTTTCTGGAATGGACATTTCATCAAATGTCATGCACGGGGAAGTTTCATTATTGCTTATTCTGTGAGCCTGAACTCTGAGCCGGGTGCCGGGACTCTGGGTCCGGAACCAAGGAGAAGTTCATGAAGTTCCAGCAGGAGGACCAAGGCCTCTCGTGGCAGGATGCCGACAAGCTTTGGGAAACGTACAAGGCAGATCCCGACCACGAGCGGGACCAGCTCGGACCTCCTCAGTCCAAGTTGCGTCTTTACACTGCGGTTGAAGACTACCTGATCCGGGAGAGGGTGAGTGGCTTCCAGCGTGAGAGAGTGTCAGGAGTCTGTGATGTGAAGAATCCGAATGAGAAGCAGGCCAAGGAGTTGGATGATCGTGTGGCCGAACCGTTGCCAGGGTTTGCAGCTTGATCATCACAGCGGCAAGACCAACTCCTAGTTTTTGCAGTCAGGCCCAGTTGTTGCTGTGCCGATGCACGGAGCACCCAATGCCGGCCGCATCCAGGGTTTAGAGGTCTAGGGTTAGGACTTGCTCATCGGGGCCTTAATGATTGGAGTCTATGTTTTATCGCGAATTTGCACGGGGCATATTTAGAAACCTTGTCACAAATACGTGGATGTGCAACCATGGCACAAAAGAGCTACTCGTTTGAGGGCATATACAAACAAACCATAAGGATCCTTACAAATTTGGCTCCTATACATCGCGGTAGTCCTAGAGGTTCAACATCCCAACGAGATTAAACCTCCGGGCCTCCAATCTAATCTGTGTTGCCACGGCCCCTAAACCTTACATGCAGGATGTGAGTATGCATGTATGTATGTGTGTATACATATGTATGTATATATTAATATATGTGTATACAGATTGTCATATGTATGTCTCCGGTTTCCCATTGGTACCCTTATGTCGTTTTACTGTGGCGCCTCTCTGTTAAGGGGTTTCGTGTCTTCTTATGGGGCTGAGGAACCTAGCCATATTGCACCCTTGAAAACCCTACCATAAACCCTCGTCTCCGGCATGTCAGTTCATGAGACCCTAAACCCCACATCCTAAACCC